GACAAGTTCCTGTCAACCCAAATGACTCAAGGTTATTAGATTTTTTGGGATGGATACATCAAAGTAACCTTGACTAGATGCGCTAGAATAGCTAGAACTCCTGCCTGAAATTGCTGCTATATTACAGCATTCAGAAAAGGGTAATAAGGATTAGTTTGCAATTAGAAAGCTGGTTAGTAAAGGAATTAGTTGAAGGGTATGAAGGACAGATGGATATTCAAGAAAATGTTCACTTTGGGATTAGCCATATGGACTGTATTGATCTTTTCTTGTTCCATACATTCCTACATACAGAATCTTGAGACGGCCTCCCAAAATGAAAGGCGCTATACAAATGTAATTTGGTATTGTATGTAGGCATAAGAAGGTTATTTAACTAATACTATAGCCACAGGCCATTATTACAGAATTAGCAAGATTCAAAACAAGACTACAGATTACAAATTATTTTTGGATTTTAGAATCAAGCAGTACATACATGTTGTAAACTCCAATCATAAGTATTTAATATTAAGAAGGGTGAATGTTTTTGAAAAGGAGTTGAAATATCATCCAGCTAAATAAATTTAAATTATTCAAAAATAAATTATGATCAAACACAAGATTAGTTGGAACATTGGGATTGTCATTCATGAAATGCAACCGATTGCCCTCCTGACCCTTCGCTTCAAGCCCTCCCCACCTCTCCCGTTGCCTCGATCCCCAGCTATAACGCCCAGCCAGCAGTGACATTGAGGCGTCATTCCAATGCGAAAGACACTTTATAAGTGTAAATTTGTATTGTTTTGGATGGATGAATATAAATTATATTATTGGACTGATATGTACTTATCTTTTGAGCATGGACATATGGGAAGAAAAGACTTGATGGGTTAAACGCCATTTTCTCTTTCCATGTTTTCTTATGTCCATTCCTACGTTTCTTTACAAATGATCTTAAAACGTAAGACCCATTGATGTGGGGCCTGGAAAACAAAGTGTTATGACAATCCAAAACACCTAACTATTTGAGTTACAATTTTTTTAATATCAGTTGATACTCATTTTGTGTTGAGGGTAATACAGGAATTATCGCAGTAGACAATCTATAGAATAATATGTTGTGCCAATTAATTGTTTTTAATTTTGCTGGCGCAGTGAACAGTACTACAATAACAATGGAATCCAGTTTGTAATATTTCTTAATGGGATTCCTTAAGAAAGTATCCAAACTGCACTAATGGTAATTATTTCCATATGTCACACCAACCCACTGGAAACTCTGCTCCAATGCAATCCACTTCCAAACAGGATTTCTTATTAAGCAATATTACATTCCAGAAAAGCTTAGCCATAAATGTCATTTTCAATTTACTTTCAGAGTTGAGTCATTACCTTCAACTTTCTAATTATTACAACGCATTTAATATTCATGTTGTGCATTGATGGACCTTCAGCTTTTTGTCTGTTAAAATGGGCATTGGATGGAAATCCTTGCTCTATTGCTACTAATTGAATTGTTCGCTGCTATTCAGAAAAGAAAATGTCTAAATGCAATCTATGGCATTGCAGTTTATGCATGCTAATCACCTTGACACGTCAGGTATAGAAAGCTGTGCTGGAAAAGAAGGTATTACCTCTGTACTCCTTTATAATTAGGCTGACCGACTTCAATGCTTTGAAGTGTTAGGGTTAGTGCCAGGGGATTACCGAAAGTTATTAAATTGGATGTGGAATCAGTGTAAAACAGGTGCACGAACAAAGACAAAATAGAACATTAAAGTCTGAGGTCTTCCAGTTACAACCACATTGTAAAATTCATTACATTTGAAAGGCACAGATAATGTGGATGACCACTGAATGCACTGTGAATTTACAAGAAAGCTGCCTCAATCTTTCTTTTCTATGTCTCTTGCACACTTCATTGTTTGCCATTTAAACTGATTTGAATCTTCGCAGTGCCAACTCATTTATTTCACTACATTTTTTCAATTCAGAGTATTACATGAAAAGGATTAGACTTACACGACTTCAGATATCTCCTATGAACAAAAAAATCAACTGTACTTTAAATAATTAATCTGTTCAACAAAATTTGTTTTTATTTTGGTTTAGTAAATTATTAATTTAATTTCAAGTAAACCACTAGGAAAAGTTTAATGTCTACCCAACAAGTTTGGAAAGAATAGCGAGTCCTGGTCTAGTATTCTGCTGAACTGCGTATTTTAACTACCACAACAATGAGGAAACTCTCTGGAACAACAAGAAAGCTGAAAATGTGATTTACAACTGATAGCAAAGGGATAGCATGTTCCCTGATTTCTGATAGTATATTGTGCATATCACAAATGAAAAGAATAACTTTCTATCTTGAACTGAAAGATTTTCTATGCATATTGCCTACGTAAATTGGAGGTCCTCAGATAAGCGAATAGTAAATTAGGAGAAGTAAAGCTTTTAGTCAGATTAAGTCTAACAAGGAACAAATTTATTTTTGGGAAAGTACAGTTTTTACTTAACCTCCCTGTAATGCTTCCCCAGTGTTAGGTCACGAAGTAGAGAAGGAGAGTGATCAAACCTAATCTATATCAAGAAACAGTCAGCAATTCTCCAGTAAAGCACACAAAAAAAATTGGTCACTTCAATCCATGACTGTTTTTGGGACACTGCTGTGTGCAATTGGCTGTCGCGTTTCACCCACAAATACACAGTCAATTCATTTTACAGTATGTGGAGCGCTTTGAGGCCTTTAGAAGATGCGAAAAGCGCTTTATCAAATGCAAGAATTATTATATAACAAGGGAAAACAAGAAAAATGTAAAGAATACAAAAAAATTTAAAATGAGAAATAAGAAAAGATAAAGGATTGTGGAAAATGATATAGAGGAATTAATGTAGGAACCAATAAGGGGAAAGGATTGGACTGTAGCCAAATCACAGATGAATGGAGTTTGGCAAGTGGAAATACAGAAACACATAGGCTGCAAACCTCAATCACATTTAATTGTACAATTGACTTTGATTGCTTCTTTGTATTGTTCTGTCACCAAACATTTTAAGGAATCCATCCCCACAGTCCAATAATTTGATGCAACACCCTGCATTTTAGGAGAACAAAATTTAAAGCTATGTTTAAAATATGTGATTGCTGAAGCTTTCAAAGATCGTTGATTCACAATGAAAAGATGAGCACTTTAATGAAACACAGCAGCAATAATCCTACTATGAAAAATCACTGTATTGATCCAAAGAGTATATAGCATTTGGGTTTTGTTTATCATTTTTGATATGACTATTTGTTGGTGTTCTATATGTGTTTTTTTAAGTCATCAGAAAATACAAGGCGTTTCAAAATGTAGGATTGAATTCTATTCTGTTTGAAATTCATCAAAAATGTGTTTCCTCAGATTTTACAATGAAGATATATATATTTGCATTCAATCAGAGCTGGGGCCTTCCCTCCATTCATCAATATACATGTTATTTAGGTGTGGATACAGATGGGAGAATATTCTGGGTAAATGGAATACCCCCTTTGACTCTTGAACCTCCGACATACCTATGGGTCACTTCCTCTTTTCCTACCTTCCCCTCTCACTTGGTTGGCTTCTGACTCTGTCTTTGGAAAGCACTCAAGATTTTATCCTACCTGAAGGGTGCTATATACATGCAAGTTGTTGTTGTTGTTGTCTGACACTCTGTGACCATTACTTAACTATTCTTCAGTTAGTTGATTCATATGAACACTGTTCTTCATGGAAGACAAAACTGTACTTCAGCATGCTGCTTAGCTCTATGCCATCACACAGCTAAAGAATACAATTTATGAGGTTGGGACTGGATTAACACACAGTATTTTCACTTCTGACACTTTGGTTTGAATCCAGCGCAGCCTGATTAGATGACTGACTTTAAAAGACTAATATGCAATGAGTTTGGGGGGTCTCAGTCCAGTAAACACGGGTTCACAGCGCAATCATATCCCATGTATTGGCACCAATTTGCCCATTTTACTCAGAGATGTGTCATGATGAGTAATTTGCGGCTTGGAAAAATTCTCAACGGTGAATCAAAATAACTTTTCTAAGAGTTAAGGGTTTGTTGAAGCAGATTAAGGGGAGTTTTACTTTGTAATCGCATGTGCACTGTGCATGACATGCTAGCACATAGTGCAGACACAGGAGATAGGAGTGAGTCACTATTGAGATATGTATTAATCCAATTTTTTCTCACAACTGTTGTGTTTTGTATGGATTTTCCACTTAATATTATTTGAAGATAAGATTCTATTTGGTTAATATGAAAAAAAATCTAACCAATGGACACTTGCCTGAAAATAATATATTGTAACAGCCTTAAAGAGCTGTTATATGATGCAACTGCTCAAAACAACAAAAATCCAGATGTGTTGAGTGGAAAGGAGAAGCTTTGTTTCTTTTCTAACCAAACCATAAAGGGATTGTCACACAGATTTCACAGAAGGCATCATTTGAGTTCAGTTATCTGCATGCAAATACAGTGGCTGTCCCTTTTACTCATAGAATCAGTAATTGAGTGGCTTTGAGTAATACTGTAGCGAGGGACTCAAACCCAGCCACATTTTGGATGACAGCCCCAGTAGCTGCATGAACATGCAGTTAATGTAGTTGACAAGTGAGGGCAAAAGAATTATAGGATTTGTACTAAACATGGGGCATTTGGGGAACAACTAGATTCAAAAAACAGTTTTGCCAATAAAGGATACAGTCACTACACTTTGCAGTGTATTCTGTGAAGCACTTTGAGATGTCTCGAAGACATGATGAGGCATTGTATCAAATGCAAGGATTATTCTTATTCTTATTATAAAAAGCATGTCATATTAGAATGACCGTTTTCACACAATCTATACAATCTAAATATTTTGTGCCTCTTTGCAAAATTCAAACGGTCAAGGTAGAATATGATAGTGGTTGGTGATGAAATAAGCATGAAGATTATGCAATGATAACCATCAGTTGTCAACTTCTTTTGTTTTCCAGCAATTGTTCCTATGTAATGTTGATTCAGAAGAATCCAGTATCAGTGTCCAACAGTTGTTAGTGGAGCTGAAGGCTGGTGGGATCAGTGAAATCCATGAGGAATCGGTGAGAAAGAAACTGTGGAACATGAAGGCACTGGATCTGCTAGATTTTCTTACTTATTTACCACTTTTTGTCCTCATCCATAACTCCATTTTGTTAAATCCATTGGACAACTCCAGGACAATCTGAAGTTTACAACTCGCATACTTTAGCAATGTAACAAAGTAGAAAGCACTGCGCAAATATTCTGGTGCTTAAGAATGTATCTATTCATTATGGCTTGAAATGGCAAGGAAAATGGAAAGCTATAAGGATTTAATTAACTGTCCTACATCTATCTTAATTGATGAAACATATACAAAATCTAGATAAGTAAACCATTACCTCAAAGCTGTATTTTCTTCTATCTCATAATGGATTGTAAATGTTAATTCATAGATTTAGTCTCAAATTACTTATAGCATCATACAAATACTGTAAGAGTTCATGCTTTTGGATATGAATTGCTGTTATGATATAAGTATTCTTATTAAGGTTACAGTGGCAATGCAACAATAGATCATTTCCACCCAGTGACTGTACTGAAATACATTAGTTTAGTTATCTATAGCATGCAACAGTTCCACTTTTTAATGATGGTTAAACTATCTGAGATTATATATAATTGTGCAAAAAATCCTATTATGGATTATGAGGTTTATTCACTAGAATCATTAATTATTACTAAAAGTAACCCTAAAAGTATCGGGCACTAGTTTTGTACTGTAATGTTTACTGGAGCTGCTATTTAAAGTGAAGTGCTGTCTATGGTACTGAAAGATTGTGGCATTAAATAAGAGCATAAGAACATAAGAATTTGATAAGCAGAAGAAGACCAAGATCTATCTAGTTCACCTTCCACCATCCTGGCAATCGCTTGACATGGCATGTCCCAAACATACTGTATCCCGAGATATTATTTTCTAGCAAAGTAAGAAAGTAAGTTCTTATAGTTGTTTGTACACTGATTATAACCCTGGCATTTACAAAGGTTATTTCTTCAATTAAAAAAAGTGTGTTAGCCATAATAAACATGTGGAAATTAATTCCATGCTTGTGGATGATATCACTGATTGAGGGCCTGTAAATATTAGGGAGGAGAAGATCAAGAACAGAGGAACAGTGCACATAAAGAGTGCGAGGATTGGAGGAGAAGCTGTTAGTGGATACAAAGTGATGATGATGTGTTGTTGCCTCACCAATGCCACGCACAATTTTCATTAAATGTAATGCATGATACTGTAAATGCTCCAGATCACAATGATAAAAATAACTTAATTAACTTAATTCATTAGATATTCCCAATTGGGTCTGACCGATCTTGCTCTACTGTCCAGCAACTTGGGACGTCCTTCTGAGGTGAAAGGCGCTACACAAATGTAATTTTTTGTTGTTGATGAGGATCTGAAAGAAGGGAATTGAATCTTGACAGTTTTAATTAAATGTCCAGTGAACAAATGTCTACAGCACAAAACTGCAAAAGATTTGTTACAAACGTGGCATTCTTTCTTAATGAAAAGTTGGTCTTGGTAATTAACATATAATTTTTGAGCAGTAAGGTTAATCTTATATACGCAGACCAGGTAATAATGGTGATGGTATCCAATATGAAGCATTAGCAAATTTCTCAATCCTTATCTAGTTTATCACTGCTGATTAGGACTTTTCACTGCAGGGCTGAGCACAGTTATATTCCTCCAAGTCTCATTGAGGAAGCAGACCGGTTGATTATCCACAATGAATTTCAACCTACAGAGATACATTTCACACTGTTTATGGGACACTGCTGTACACGACTGGCTGCCGTATTTCACCCACAATATACACCGTCAATCCACTTTACAGTATATTCCATGAAGCACTTTGAGACATCTCAATGACTGTGAAAAGGCGCTATATCAAATGCAACGATTGTTATTTTTTCAGAAAAACTCTGTAAAACTCCTTGAGATGTTTTCTAATAAACTGCTGTATCAAATGCAATTATTAGAGTGGGTGGTTTCACAAAACATGGCTCTTCAATACTAATTTGACCCCAGTGTACTGCACTACTCCTACCTATTAATGCAAGTTATTTTTGATGCCTAAAGAAGATCGTTTTTAGGCATGGTAAAATAAATACATCTCAATATTGATTAACTTGAGAGGATAAAGGGCTGAGTAGATGCACTAGAATTTTAATACAGAACCATTTAAATGAGCTAAGAATTCTGAACTGCATTTAATCTAATTTATACAATGCCTGACATGGAATTGCTTGATTCTCAAACTGGAGTGAAAAGTAGTGGGACATGTTTCCCAACTCAAAAAAGTTCTCTCCTTCCAAAAAAGTCTGATTTATGGAAATCATTTATAAGGCAATAGCATTTGAGGAGGAAGAAAGTCAGCTTACAAGAACAAAAACCTAGACCTTTGTGCCAGCTTGGCTCAGTTGGTAGGATCGCGGCTATAAAATATATAGTCAATTCATTTCACAGTGTATTTTGTGAAGCACTTTGACACATCTCAATGATGTGATAATGCGCTATATCAAATGCAAGGATTATAATTTATTATTATATCTCACTTTCGAATAACAAATTGTGGTTTCAAACTCTAAAGACAAGCCCTAAATGCATAATAGTCTGTGCTCCTTGTCTATGCTAATACTCCAGTGCAGTAACATAGAGTATCTTATTGTCTGGGATGCTATCTTTTGTATGACACTTTAAACAGTCTTGTCCACTTGTTCGGTTGGGTGTTAACAATCACATGACACTAATGGTAAAGAGAAAAGGGTTTCTTTAGCTCCAGATAAATTGGTCATTTACCATATGTAATATATATGTAATAATATGTGTGTCTATGTGTCCTTGCTGGTGCCATAGTCACTACACTTGACAGTAATTACCTTTGAGGTATTTCAATGTGCAAATGTGCAATAAAAATGCACATTCTTCCTTAGGTACTTTGGACATGTATGGAGCCCGGAATAATTGTCTCAAACAAGCAGGCATATTAGACTGCTTAAAATGAAAATGATGTATGTTCCACAGCTACTGGCTTAGTGTTATTCAAGGTTAAAAACATGACATTTCTTATACACCATTTCTACCCTCCAACACATTTTCAATACATTGTTTGGATAGTTGTCCTGTAAGCATATGCCTGTGAGATTGCGAAAGTGAAAGATCTGGAAAGAAAAAATCCAGGTGCATCATTGAAAAATATCTAGAAATCACAAGAACATTTTAACTCTATAAATGTTTATCAAAGTATAAAGATAAAATCAATTCACTTTACAGTATACTTTGTGTCATGCTTTGAGACGTGGTATAGCACTACATCAAATGCAAGGATTATTATTATTATATTGTTTCAAAAAAAATAAACATTTGAGCAAAGCTGAAACTTTCTCAATGAGGAACGAGTTTACCAGTCATTTTAAGAGAAATATAATGGAGATTATTCTTTTCTTTTAAATAAGTGTGTGCATCATTAGTTTTTTTTAGCTTGCTAATGTTCTATTTTTTTCTTCTTTTTTAAAAAAAAAAGTACTGAAAGGGGTGATGGTTGTGCGGGGCTCTATGTCTTCAAAAAGCTCGCGATTTAACAAAAGCATCAGTAATTGCTCTCTGCGCCCTCTGTGCGCCTTGTTGAGGGGAACTTCACTGTTGAAATTCTGTGGGCGTTCCTCAAGCCTCCAACTCACAGTGCATCTTTCCAATTTCTACACATTTTAGTACGTTGTGTTTTCCTCTTTCTCTTTTCCCCTCTTCTTCTCTTTCTTCTTCTTCTTCTTCTTCTTCTTCTTCTTCTTCTTCGAGTTTCAAGAGTTTCAATCCCCCCCCAAAAAAGCAGGCTGCGCCAGGGTAAGCTTCTTAAACTGCGTCCCTTGTCTCCAACACACATCGTAACGCCTGGGATTGAATCCATTTATTGTGGAAAGAATTTCCGGAACACAGGCCATTTCTGAGGGCTAAATGCGTGTGGAAGGCTCTTTTTTTAAAAAAAAGGAGGGCCGCCCTTAACCTAAGGCCATTATCACGGTCAATGTTTGCTGTGGACTTTCTCAAAAGGAGTATTGTTGCTTGTTGCCAGGTATTCCCTAGCAACCTCGATGCCACGCTGATGCTCTAATAGTTTAGAATGAAGCGCTTGTCAATTTAATGCTTTTCTCTCCCTCTCACTCACTCTCTCTCTCTCTCCTTCTCGCTCCTCCACCCCCAAACACGTGCTCGTCAACAGAAGAATATGGTAAAATGGGAAAAGTTTTGTTCTGTCCCAGTGGTTCGGTTTTAATTGCAAGCTTGAGATTTTGAAACGTGTAAAGTTTTTTGGGGGGGAACCTTTGTGTTCTTCTTAAAGTTTGACTCGATTTACTTCCCCTTTTGCATATAAGAAATCAGCATGAACATTTTAAATCTACAATATTTTGTTTTTGATACATATAATATATGTAGAATAATTATATACAATTAATTTTTTATTTACAATGGAGAAACAACACGACATATTCACTCAATGTACAATTGTACTATTCTATATTGGGATGGTTCTTGTAAACGTGTACTTGTTTTTATGATTTTTTTTTAACCCTCATTAAGTATCAGGTCTTGAAAACAATAACAGATTTCCAACTTAATACAGTCCCCAACACCCATTCTATCCAATCACAATGCCAGTTGGTGGCATCACAACTTTCAACCTGTGTGAAGTCTGGTAAATCACCTTCAAGTCATTTTCTTAATCATTGGAAAAAATATCAGTACAGATGAGCTAGAGACTGCAAAGGGTAACACCGTACCCTTTAGCTACAATTCACAAATGTTTGTGCCTTTTTTTGTATTGTGGAGTTTGCCAAAAGGAATGTATTACACTTTAAAGTGACAGAAGAACTCACTGCAAACAAAGAAAATAGTGGGCTGTACTCTTACTGTGTTTGGATCCCCAAAAGAGGAGGTTGGGTTCCACAACACTGGAATATATGTTTCACAATTTTTTTTATCATTATTTGAGATAAAATAATAATAATAATCCTTGCATTTGATGTAACGCTTTTCACGTCGGGAGGACGTCCCAAAGCGCTTCACAGAATACATTGTAAAGTGAATTGACTGTATATTTGTGGACGAAAGCGGCAGCCAATTGCGCACAGCAATGTCCCATAAACAGTCACAGATTGAAAATGACCAATTTATTATTGTTTTGGGTTTTGGAGGGATTATTATTAGGCTCTGTGTGGAGTAAGGAAACTTGCCCAAGGTTTCG